CCCTGAGGTGTGGAAACCCTTGGGTTTTTGGGGACCTTGTGCAAAGATCCCTAAGGTAGGTTTAGGCCCATATCACCCAGAGACTCCAAAACCCCTTAGTTAAGGAATATGCCTTAAGTCATATTCGGGTTCCTATTACAATTTAAGGTATATTCCTTGAGTCTCTGAAAAGGAGTAGAGTAAGGGCACTCCTTAGGGGGTTCAACCTTAGGGGGTGCGCCTTGATTGAAAGCCCTAATCAACTGGAGCCGGAGCAGCTACTAATCGAATTTGCCTTGTGGTCCCTCTATCATTCTACTATAATCACCCCCCCCCCCCCCCCGGAAAACCCTGTTGTAATTATTAAGGCCCCTGTATTATACAAGAATAACCCCCCCCCAAAACCCTATTCTAATTATTGTGGCTCCTATATTAGGGTCTAGGGTTTAGGGTTTAGGGTTTAGGGTTTAGGGTTTAGGGTTTAGGGTTTAGGGTTTAGGGTTTAGGGTTTAGGGTTTAGGGTTTAGGGTTTAGGGTTTAGGGTTTAGGGTAGGCTCTGAACCCTACCGGAGCTCTAAGCCTGGAAGCAAGGGCCTCTGGAAGCACCCATAGAAGCCCGAAGCTCTAGGCCTTCAACCCTAAACCCTAAACCCTAAACCCTAAACCCTAAACCCTAAACCCTAAACCCTAAACCCTAGACCCTAAACCCTAAACCCTAAACCCTAAACCCTAAACCCTAAGCCCTAAACCCTAAACCCTAAACCCTGAACAGTAAGCCCACGTAAATCCTGAACATGCGCTTCCCCAGGTCAGAACTCTAGCAATGCTTTCGAATCGGGGGCCTGAGCCCTGGTTTTCAGGATTTTTTTTTTTTTTTTTTGGGGGGGGGGGGGTGATGTTTTCAAAACATTTTTCCAGGGCTTGGGAGGGTTGTGCATTTTTTGTTGGATAGTTTCTGGGTGTTTTTGTTCGTTTTCGTTTTCGTTTTCGTTGTCGTTGTCGTTTTCGTTTTGGGTTTTTGGCGGTATTCTTGGGGTTCTTGCTTGTTTTCAAACGTGTTTAGGGTTTGGGGCTTTCAGGGGGCCTAAGAGTTGTCAAGAGGAGTTTGGGCTTTCGGGTTTGGGTGGTTTTCAGGTGTCTTTTGTTGGTAAAGGGCTGTTGAGGTTTCTGTGTTCCTTTTTTTGGGGCGGGGGTGGGGGGGGGGACGTAAGCGGTTGGGTGTGCTTTTTGTGGTGGCTTCAGTGTTGCTTAGGGCTCTTTGGCGGGTTTAGGGTTGCGGGTTTGGGGATTCGGTGGGGGTGGGCCGGGTTCGGAGTTGGTTGCGCGAAAGATTTCGGGATTTGCGTTCGGGAATGTTTGGAGTCTCTAATCGTAAGGCCAGGGTTTATGTCACACGGCCTAAGGCTTTGGGGGCTTTAGGGTTGTCGGGTTGAGGGGTCTGAGATCTGGGCGTTTACGATATTAGGGGGTACCTTATTGGGTCCATATCATAAGGGGATCCTACTATGTGGGGTCTAGATTAGGGGCCCCTTGTTATCGTAAACCCCCATTTGGGGTGTATTTGTTGGGGGAGCGGACTCGGGGGTTAAGCCTTGAGCGATTGGGTCTAGAAGTTCCTGAAGCCATGCCGAACTCCAAGTCCGAACAACCACCAGCGTGTAATTCCTATCACTAAACCCGAAACCCTAAACCCGAAACCCGAAACCCTAAACCCCAAACCCAACCCTAAACCCCAAGCCGAAACCCCAAGCCCTAAACCCCAAACCCTAATCCCTGAATCTAGGCCCTGCCGATTCTTATCACGCTGCTGCAGCATGCTCTACCAGGCCTACGAGGACAGACAACCACTCCGTGAGCCCAGCTCAACCATCCAAAGTCCTAACTCCTAGGACCCAGAGTAGGCCCTAAATCCCCTCTTTAGGATTTAGGGTTCAGGGTTTAGGGTTTAGGGTACCCAGAGTAGGCCTTATTCCCCTTTCTTTTTTAGGGGGGGGGGGGGTAACAGATTCCCTTATAAGCACGCCCACTGCAATGTTAGGGAGTAGGGTTTGGGGCTTAGGGTAAGAGGCCCTACGCCCTCAATGCTAGAACCTCTACGCCCTACGCCCTTTGGGCCGAAAATCTCAACCTTCAACCCTAAACCCTAAACCCTAAACCCTAAACCCTAAATTAAACCCTAAACCCTAAACCCTAAAATTGCCGTGGCCCAGGGTTTTGAATTTCAGCATCGCAGCCGCTGCGAGGAGCTGCTGCCTCGTGTCTGCGGAACATGTGCATGGCCCTTGGAGCGTTAGTAGGGTTTAGGGTTTAGGGGTTTAGGGTTTAGGGTTTAGGGTTTAGGGTTTAGGGTCTAGGGGTTTAGGGGTTTAGGGGTTTAGGGGGTTAGGGGGGTTTAGGGGGGTTTAGGGGGGTTTAGGGGGGTTTAGGGGTTTAGGGGTTTAGGGGTTTAAGGGTTTAGGGGTTTAGGGGTTTAGGGTTTACATAGGGTTTAGGTTTTAGGGTCTAGGCACTGAAGTGCTTGCAAACCCGGCTGGAGTTACCCGAACCCTATAAATCCTAACAGCCAAGCCCTCCAGAGCTAGGAATATGCTTGCTGGTTGCGAACTGATGTGTCGCTGCCATCTCATGCATCTAGGGTTCATCTTTACTGGAGCCTGATCCGTGCCAGTCAGTAGCCAAGTGGCTGGGGCATCTGTCCCCCTTGGCGTGCTAGTTTCGGGTTTAGGGTTTTAGGGCTTAGGGTTTTAGGGTTTAGGGTTTAGGGCTTAGGGCTTAGGGTTTAGGGTTTAGGGTTTAGGGCTTAGGGTTTTAGGGTTTAGGGTTTAGGGCTTAGGGCTTAGGGTTTAGGGTTTTAGGGTTCAGATACCACCATTCAAGGTCTTGAAAACTCTAGAGGGTCCATGTATGGGTGACATTGCTGACTGTGCCGCTATTCTTTCCCGTAGTCTAAACCCTAAACCCTGAACCCCAAACCGTAAACCCAACCGTAAACACTGAACCCTAAACCCTGGCACAGGCAAAGCCGCCATATTCAGCCTAACAAGGGTTTTGGGGTTTAGGTTTTGGGATGCCTTAACCCCTAAACCCTAACCCTAAACCCTAAACCCTAAACCCTAAACCCTAAACCCTAAACCCTAAACCCTAAACCCTACACCCTCAAGCCCTCCACGACTCTTGGCTCCAGCGCAGAGGCGGAATCTCTCAGAAGCCAGAGCCCAGAGATAGGCACTCGCCATGGTGGGCGCCTCATGGTCTTTGGTGGAGCCCTGGAGAGGGTTTAGGGTTGAGGGTTTAGGGTTTAGGGTTTAGGATATAGGGTTTAGGGTTTAGGGTTTAGGGTTCAGGGTTCAGGGTTAGGGTTTAGGGTTCAGGGTTTAGGGTTTATGGTTTAGGGTTTAGGGTTTAGGGTTTATAGGGCTCAGGTATGGTTATTTTTCCACAAGAAGGGTACCCTTTCATGCGCCAAGACACCTTGTTGTAGGAGCTTCCCCCTCCAAAAAACAGTATTCCTATGTTAGGTAAACATATATAGGGCTGTGTTGAGGAACTGACTGCCCCTGACCCTAAAGGGCTTACTGAAGCTGACCCTCTGTGCACGGCAAAGCTCCCGGCTACACTACTCTAGCGCGTGGGGTTTCGGTGGAGTTATATGGGGGTTTACGATCTTAGGGGTACCTTCTTGGGGTCCTTATTATAAGGGGATCCTATTAGGCTATTAGGGGTCCCTTTCTTTCGTAAACACCCATTTGAATTTCGTGACTTTCTGGGATGGCCATGTGGACCGTTCAGCTGAGGACATCTTGGGCGCGGACACGAAGCCGTCGCTCAAGTGGCCTCAAGCGCTTCTTATTATCATCATCGTGATCCTCGCAGCAGTTGTGGTTTTGGTAGACAGCGAATGCACTCTGGCGACAGATTCGGTAAAGTTCTCCTAACCCTAAACCCTAAACCCTAAACCCTAAACCCTAAACCCTAAACCCTAAACCCTAGAAGCTTGCTGGGCAACCTCAAAAGCCCTAAACCCCAGCGCGTAGCACTAAACCCGGCAGCCGCCAAAACCCCGCTATATCCTCCTAGGTGCCACCCTCAAGGGGGTGATATTTCCAGCGTACCACAGGCACCCTAAACCCTAAACCCTAAACCCCGAAACCCCTAAACCCCTAAACCCCGAAACCCCTAAACCCCGAAACCCCGAAACCCCGAAACCCCTAAACCCCTAAACCCCTAAACCCCTAAACCCCTAAACCCCTAAACCCCTAAACCCCTAAACCCCTAAACCCTAAACCCTAACTTCCACAACTCAGAGTTTCGTGGAACACCCAAGGTGTTGCAGAGTGCATCCTCGAGGCAGCAATTGTGAGTGCGTCCATGCTGCTGGGAAGCTCGTCTCTCCAGAGCGGGTTTATAGCACAAGGGGGGGGGGGGGAAAGAGGGTTTAGGTTTAGTGGTAGGAAGGGAGTCTTATCGTTCATTTTCTGAGTTCTTAAGCAAATAGACGCAAGGCTGGGCATTATTTTGGACACGGGTGTTTGTTTGTTTTTGTTCGCGCTTTGGTGGTTCAGGAGTTGCCAGTGTCTTTTGTCGTTGTGACATTGGGGATTTGACCATCATTGTATGTATGCAATCCTCTATGATTGGCTCAAGATGGCGGCGGCCGAAATCCCACTGTCGCCACCTGTCGCTGTCCTTGAACTGGGTTTAGGGTTTAGGGTCTAGGGTCTAGCGTTTAGGGTTTAGGGTTTAGGGTTTAGGGTTTAGGGCCTAGGGTTTCTCGTCTAACGGCCATGCTTCATATCTTCTCGGCGTTGCTCGTTCTGGGCGTCTCTGCTAGCTCACAGTCGGGTGCGGCAGCCGTACTGGATGACAGCTGTCGCGATGCCCCTATGTCGCTGGTGCAGTCGCGGGCTTCTAGCCGAGGCAAAGCGGCCGCTTCGCAGGAAGCGGGCCCGAAGCCATGGGAGAAGCACTATTTTTTCGTGGGTACGCACCACAAAGCTGGCAGCAACCTGCTGCACAATGTGATGAGACGTGCCTTGGACACCCTAGATGCCCCGTTCTCCTGCCGTTGGGAATTGAACTGGACAGGTTTCCTTACCACGGCGGATAACACTGCAGCGTGCTCCGACCGCTTGGACATACCAATACAATTCGACCTCCACGGCCTCCTCAAGAACTTTGCGGCGGCCAAAGGGGCGGCTTCCTTTCGCGCGCTGCCAATCCGGGGAGCCCATGCCATTCGCAAGCCTAAGGACATGCTCCTATATCCCCCTTGGGATTTGTTTTAATAATTATTTTTGTTCATATAGAACCCAAGAGGATAATGAACATGGTTGTTTTTATTAAGGTTCTAAGTGGAGTATAGGCTCATCTCCGCCTACTGCTATCACCACCGTGGAGAGGAGTATGGCACGTTTGATGTTCCGTGGCCCGAGATCATGTCGATGGGCCCTCTCGAGGGTCTCATGGCCCTGTGGCCTCCCATGTCTGGGGTCATGCAGCGCATGCTGGATCTCTACACGCACACGGCTGCTGATGAGATGTTCCATGTACGCTTTGAGGAGATCTCCAAGTCGTCGGAAGGCTTTCACGACGTGGTCCAGAGGCTGTTTCACTTCCTCTTCGCAGACACCGTCCCAGAATCGGACCTGTTCCGGCTCTGGGAGGCAGTCAAGGTGGAGGACTTGAACGTTAAGCCCACCGATGACGACGCCTTAGAGGCCAGCAACCACTCGAATGACAAGGAGTGCATGCTGGCAACGCAGGAATCTTTGCTGCAGCTGGACCCGCGCGTGTTGAGCCAGTTGAAGGACATGCAAGAGCAGCTGGGGTATTCCATTGAGAACTGGCCGGACCCTGTCACCAGCTAAGACAGCTCGGTGGGAAAAAGACGAGACATGGGCCAAATGGTTTGTGTCTTTTGGGCCGCTGGTGGTTTATGGATCTTCTCTCTGAACCCTTAAACTCTCATAAACTCTTGGCGATTGGGAGTGGGGGCAGGCTCCTGGGGCCTTTGAACCTGGATGCCTGGAGAAGCCGGTTTTGCCTGAGGAAGGTTCCGGGCTTACCTGTGCATGTCAGGATGCAATTGGGTTTTGGGGGGACCGTGAACCTTAAACTCTAAACCCTAAACCCTAAACCCTAAACCCTAAACCCTAAACCCTAAACCGTAAACCGTAAAACCCTAAACCCTAAACCCTAAACCCTAAACCCTAAACCCTAAACCCTAAACCCTAAGCCCTAAGCCCTAAATCCTAAATAAACCCTAAACAAACCCCAAGCCCTCAACCCTCAACCCTCAACCCTAAACCCTAAACCCTAAACCCTACACCACGGCGGGGGGGGGGGGGGGGGCGCCGGGGCGCAACCATATAGGAGAGGTTTCTAGGGGAGTAAGATGAAGGGATCCCAAGACTCTTTCCTTATGTTTCTCCAGAAAGCAGGCGGGTTTAGGGTTTAGGGTTTAGGGTTTAGGGTTTAGGGTTTAGGGTAAGCCAAATGAAACTCTATCGAGACGAACAGTTTTTCGGAGAATAATCACCCTGATCCTAAACCCTATACCCTAAATTCGGGCTTCGGGGTTTTTTGGGCTTAGGGCTTCACAGGGTTTAGGGCTTCACAGGGTGTCGCCCTGAACCCTAGGCCCTAGACGGGGCAACCAACAAGGGGAGAAGAAACAAGGGATACCACCCCTCTAGGGTTTAGGGTTTAGGGTTGAGGGTTTAGGGTTTAGGGTTACCGGGTTTAGGGTCTAGGGTTTAGGGTTTAGGGTTAGGGATTTGTAGGATTGAAATCCAAGCACACCAACCCTGAATGGGGACCAGCCAGGCTAAGGGGGGGTCCAGTGTGGGCTTACCTGGCCTAAGCCAACAGCACAACCGCATCGTAAGCCTAAACCTGCTAAGCCTGTTAACCTAAAGAGAAGCTTAACCAACCGAACCTTAAATTCATCTACTAATTGCTAAGGTCCCCAAAAAAGGCTTCCTTATGAAGGGTAATATCAAATAAACCCAACACCCCCGACCCTCAACCCTTCGGGTCTACCCTTTTCACTTGCGCAGCCAGATCTTGTGGCCATGTCTTGAGGCACAACACTAACACAATTCAAAAGGTGCTCTTTACAACCTCCCGGCTTCTCTACACCATCTCCGCACCCTGCACCCTAAACCCCCAAACCCTACACCCCAGACCCTAGGCTTTAGGATTCCAGGGGCTAAGTTATGAGCTCCCCAACTCTGCAGCGATCACAGGAAAGTGGTGCTTCGGCACAGAGGTGCGCGCTTGGCGCGGCGACGTCATCGTTTCAAGGGTGGCTCGATTGGCCTTTCGGATGCTTGCTGTCCTTCAGAACATCTGATGGCTTGGAGGGAGGTTACTGCCGCACACCCCAAGCCTAAACCCTAAACTTTAAACCCTAAACCCTAAACCCTAAACTTTAAACCCTAAACCCTGAACCCTGAAACCCTAAACCCAAGCGCCCGCGACTCCTAGACGGTTTCAGAGACCAACTCAGGTGACGTCCGCGTGCCGGTCTATCAAGGGATCTCTTGCGTTCCGGCTGCGCCAGCTTTACGGTTTAGGGTTTAGGGTGGCTGAGCTTTAGGGTGTAGCAGGCGGAGGCCGAGGCGAAAGGGTCTCCTTCGGCCCGAATTCATACCCGAAATCCCCCAACCTCCTTGACAGGTGATTTGTTGCACTCTCATAGGGTAGTTTCATGGGCCCTTAATATGGTCCCTTACCTCCTTTAAAGGGTTCTGATGGGCCCTCGGGTTCTGTAGGGTATATAAGGGGTCCCCTGTTAAGGGTTTAGGTTTCAGGGTTTAGGGTTTAGGGTTTACTAAGGGACCGTGGAACTACCCAAGGAGACTCTAGGGCAGAGTCGGAAGGTAATCAGCCGAGGGTTCTGGCAAAACGTACTATAGGGATCGGAAGAATTACTAGTAGTATTCCCTAAGGGTCCCTCTATAAGTATACTAGACTAACACCCCAAAAACCCTAGACCCTAAACACCCTAGACCCTAAACCCTAAACCCTAAACCCTGAACCCTAAACGCAGCCCAGGTCGCCATGTTGCGACAGTGGCTGTTGGCAGTGGAAGCGCCCAGCCATCACAGAATGGCGGATCCGAGCTGCGACTTGGACATGAACCCACCGGCGCTCCAGGATTCCGACGCGTGCCTCCATGCTTCTGGGCTTTGCCTGGGCATAGCGTTTAGGGTTTATGAGGCTTAGACTCCGACCTTCAGTCGCCAATGTTGCCGACATTTTCCTTGGAACCCGTTCAACCCTTAACTTTGTGCCCGCGACCCTGCAGCCTATTATATTCCCCTTGTGAGTTTTTTAATTTTGGTTTATATAAACCCAAGAGGATATCAAACCATTGTTTTTATTCAGGTTCTAAGGGGAGTATACCCTATAGGTTGAGGGTTTAGGGTTTGCATCTCTGCCCGATGTGCGGCCACGCCTGGCACATGCCGAGGCAAAACTCTAGGAACGCTGAGTACCCAAAACCCTGAAGTGTAGTGTTTAGGGTTTAGGGTTTAGGGTTTAGGTCTAGGCCTAGGTTCTATAGGTGATACCGAAACCTCCCGAGATGTGCAAAAAACAAGGGCCCGCATTTAACTAGGCTCCGGCCAAGGCTTATGATCTCAGTGCCGGGCAAGATTGTGATTTCCGATCTCTTGAGCGGGCGAACCTGCTTCAGAAGCTTGTCGGTATTGGGATATGATAACTTTCCGGTTCAGGGTGTTCATATGCTGGTCCGTTTTCCCCTTGTAACATCAGTTAGTTTGTGACGGTGCCGAGACCACCCGCCCCAAATCCTGAAACCATTCAAAGTTTAGGGTTTAGGGTTTAGGGTCTAAGGACAACACGCCTGGACGTAAGCTGGTAAACCTCAAGCAGAACTCATTAACCTCCCCCCCCTTCCCACAGCTCCCCCCCCCCAGCCCCCCACCCACCTCCCCCCTCCCCCCCCCTCCCCCCCTCTGCCCTATTCCCTAAGCCGTATGAGCTGTAATTGATGAGGCACCTGGGGTTCACAATTCCTTCGTCTATACCGCACTGTTTTGGACTAAAGCGGATTATTCGGGGTTGTACCGGATGATTCTTTTTTTATATCCCCAACATCCCAAAATTCTCCATCATACTGCGGGAAAATTCGAAGCCTGAAGCCTTTAAACCCCTAGAGCCCCAAACCCCAAACCCTTGAGTCATAGATTTGAAGCCTGCCCCCCCCATCAACCCCCCCCCGCCCCCAGCAACCGCCCCTCGGCGCGCCAACCAGACACCTTATTTGCTGTACAAGGCCTAAAGCCCACAACGTCGACTGGGCCCCATAGTTACCCATGCGAATCGCAGACTATTCGCAAGTGCGCCTGGAAATAGTCTGCCATTGGCCGCTTTGTTGGCTTGGGAAGAGTTCATGTAACCAGCGCCAGTAGCTAGCTAGCTGATAACAGTCAGCAGTTTTGCAGACACGTTCGAGATGCTAATAGCTAGCAAATAGCGCGGATGGTTGTGTGGCCATCACAAGGTTGAGATGATATACTGTATATTATTTTTAAATTGTTATTCTGGTTTATTCCATGCTATTCTTTTCTGTTCTATTTCGTTCTATTCTATTTTATTCTATTCTATTCTGTTCTATTCTATTCTATTCTATGCTTATTCTATTCTATTCTAATTCTATTCTTCAATTCAGTTCAATTCAATTCAATTCTATGCTATTCTGTTCTATGCCATGCTATTCATTCTATTCTATTGTATTCTATTCTATTCGGTTCTCTTCTTGATGTGGGTGGGTGGGTTGGGAGGGAGCGTTGAACCAGGGCGTGCACCTCCACGCACGCCTTGCGTGGTGGTGTGCACCGAGCCCTAAACCCTAAACCCTAAACCCTAAACCCTAAACCCTAAACCCTAAACCCTAAACCCTAAACCCTAAACCCTAAACCCTAAACCCTAAACCCTAAACCCTAAACCCTAAACCCCCAAGCTCCTGAGCCCTAGAACCCTTAAATCCGAAAGCCCCCCCACAGAGCACAAGGAGTTTCAAGACCGCCGTGCAGCATGGGAGTCTGGGCTGCATGCTTTAGGCAGCTTGTTCCGGTTTAGGGTTTAGGGTTTAGGGTTTAGGGTTTAGGGTTTAGGGTTTAGGGTTTAGGGTTTAGGGTTTTGGGTTCCGGGTTTCTCGAGGTGTAGGGTAGGGTTTAGGATCCCCCACCACTAAAAAAAGGACAGGGCCAGGACCTAGGTCCATATGGCCTTTAAAACTGGCCTTTTTTACGGGTTCATGGACCCCCCCATTCGTCTCGATGGAAATACTGGGGATTTCCTAGGGAGTCCTAGGGATCAGAAACAGAAGGCAAATAATGGACAGAAGGGCCTGCAGAGGCCATCTGTCCTTTATTATGTTGGTTTGTGATTTCTCCATGTCGGTCACCAAAATAAGCTCAGAAGAGGGGGGGGGGGTTGTGCAGAGTGCCATGGCATTTGATAAGCTCTTTGAGCCTGCGATCGGCCTCAGCCCGAACACAGGCTGGCAAAGCCCAGACATCTCCAAACCCCTAAACCTCTCCCCTAAAAGCTGACGATTCTGGCGCTCCGGAACAGCGAGGCTCGATACGGTGTACTCAAAACCCCCCAAATGAACCTTACATCCCAAAAAACTTATAGCCTACGAGCCCCAAACCCTAAAAACCCTCCATCCCAAAAAAAACCTCAACCCAAAAAAACGAAATCATCAGGCAGCAAGAGAGTGCAAGAAAGCAGTGACAGCAGTTCGCCGCATCACTGGTGTGTGTTTCAGGGGTTCCTGCAAGCCTCTTTGCACAGCCATGGGGTGGTCTGTGGTGTACAGAACCAATCTTGC